ACAAAGAACGAGAAGAACAAAGCCTAGATGGCGTAGAATATCTAATTTCGTTTACATTAGGCTAAATGTAAACGATAACTTCTCCATGAAAATTATTCAAGTATACGCTCAAACAGCAGTACATTCCGATGAAGAGATAGACGAATTTTATAAGAAAATTGAAGAAACTAGCACGAATTATCACACGACGAGATTAGGAGACTTCAACGCTAAGATCGGACAACGACTTTAGCGTTGGGGGAAAAAACCGAAAACTATATAGGACAATGCGGCTCTGGAGTTAGAAATGAGAGAGGAGAAACCTTGGTTAACTTTCTACAAGCCTACAAATACCATGTAATGAACACATCTATAAGAAAAAACCTCAAAGAAAGTGGACGTGGCTAAAGAAAGAGTAAGAACAGATAATATGAAATCAGAAGAGTTTAGAGTCAATGATGGCTTACGACAAGGAGGTGTAGTAGGCCCCATCCTGTTCCATATTTTACTAGATGATGCAGTGAAGGAAACTAGAGAAGAAACATCGAGAATACTTGTTGGACATAGAAACCTGGAAAAGATACAGATAGCGGATAAAGAGCTTTTCATATTTAGCCGATTACGATCCTGCAACTGTCAGATTTAACTAAAATGTTATGAAATAATTCTCGACATTCTTAAAATCCTATGACGTCAAAATTGGTCACACTGAAAGAAGGGCTTGGGTCAGACGTTACATGCCTTTTCTGTAAAACCTCTGTATTATTTACAAATATATTTTTGTTACATTTAATATTTTTAAAATTGAACTAAATCCAAGTTATTTGCAAGCTTCTATTTAAATAATTAAAAACATGAATATTAAAAAAACTGTGTTTGGACACTTCACACCATGACTATTTTTCCATCTCTCTTTCTAGAGTCATCATTATGTAACAGTTTCTATAGTTAAATATAGCTCTCTGAGTATCTCTTTCAATGCTCTCTAACGTACTAGACTATCTATCAATTATCAGCCAAATAAGTTAGTTTTGTTTGTCGTTTTCTGTTCAAGACGAACAATGCACTTGAAACATTTCATGTTTACCCAAATTACTGCATAATGATGTTAAGAGTAAATACGTTTGACAACGGTAAACAAGCTCTTTAGTCAGTGGAAACTTTTAACGAAACGCGAAGGCTGCACAGATGCACAGAATAGTGATGACAACAACCGACAAATTGGATATGTTTAAAATCGTAAAAAGCATTTTACGAGGAGTTCTCAAAATACTAAATTAATAAGAAACATATTGTAATAGAACAATAAGTCTTCACTTACTGCAGAATGTGTCAATTTTCTTGATGTGTCCCATATTTTTAAAGTTTATATAGCAACCTATAAAAGCCCGCTGGCATGGTTGAGGAAAGAAATAAAAAAGGAATGTAAAGGGAAACTAGAGGATTACACGAAGTACAAAACATCAAATACTCCAGAATCCCGAGACACTTATAGTAGAATACAAAATGAAACAAAGCAGTTGGTAATGTCACCTCGGGGTAAATGAAAGTGGTCTATTCACCTTCAGGAACCTCCGGGTGCTCTGTAGAGTGCTTCGAAAACGTCGACGATAGCTCCTCTACCTAAGTCTACTTTCAGGGTATGGGGTAAAAGTTTTCTTATGGTAGCTTGCCTTGAAAAGGGCAAGATATTTCTTACATGACAAACTTAAGTCGAAATAAAAATACCAGGTTGCAGTAGAATAAAATCTCAGCCACAGAATATAGGAAAAAGCTAAAAGAAAGCAGAACCCCGAGAGCACTAAGCTCTCGGAGAGCCCGTGAGGGACTGACTTGGTTGACCTGAAAATCGCCAATATCTAAATCCGCTGTTCGAACGATAAATAGGGATTTCCAGGTCAAGAACCAATTGGAAAATTCGAGGCAGGGCGATGCGCATCGAATTGCGTACTAGTCTTGCGACTATGGCACTCGATGACAGTAACAAAAACCAAAAAATTAACACTATGAACAGTTTACAAAAAGGATGGCAAGCGACTTCTACGGTACACAAAAACAAATATGGAGGTTCATAAAAAACCAACGCAAATAAATGAGAAGCAAGTTGGTTATCTCGTTTTAATAACATATATTTAAGAATATTCCCTGTACGGTTGCTGATGCATCCTAAACTAATCTGAATTTGTTAGGTTTGTTAGGACTAAAGGTCGGAAATATGGGAAGATATAATTATGGATTTTTCTTAATTCTCCTCTCTATAGACTCCAGTCTTTGAATAGCCATTGGTTTGCTATTAAGGAGTTTCAAGTTGTCGTATTTCTAGAGTAATCCAATTTTATATTGGTTACCAATTTGAACTAGGGTACTTTCTTGTATACGAATAGCCCTATCGAATTCTTTGGAAACAGACGGTTTAATATTTTGAACCCCAAGGCTTTCAACAGAAAAGAAATCTTTTTCAGTACTAAAGAGTTCTTGGTTAGTAATGTTTTGAGAACTATATTTGCAAATGTGGTAAGTATAGTTTAATTCCACATTGTTATTTGAAAACATTGCAAAAATAGTCTAACCTAACCTGGACTTTGCAGCTATCGGTTGAAGTTCTAGACCTTCCTTCCCCAGTTATCTCAGCCTATCAAGATCTGAGGAATAGCGTTTTTATATTCTTTGAAAGCCAAGTTTTTTAGATAGGGGAAGCTTTCTTTAATTGCCTTTGCATCGAGAGTTTGTTTTGGAAGGCCTAATTTTTGTTGATTTCCAGTCCATTTTAAGCAAAGTTATTCTGGGTTTCCCATTGTTTTTAGCTTTTTAGTCATACTTTCTTCAAACAAAGTAACGGAAGACCCTTCATCTAGAAAGAAAAATGTAGTGACCTCCCTATTTCCATTTCTTAAAACAACGAAAAGTATTCGAAAGCTTGTTTCTTGATGTGCATTACTTTCTTTATCTGCAGATAAGAGGTGTGATTCTACTGTTTGCATACCGCTTTCGTTTTTGTTAAGCTTTGTACTTTTATTAGGTACTTGTTCTGAAAATTCATGAAGAAGAGGATGATGCTTCCTTTGGAATTCTTCTTTGTTGCATTTTTCAGGATACTTACAGGAAATTCTGTGTTTCTTTAAGTAAAGCTTACATACATTTAAGGCTTTAACAGCAATCTTATTGCTGCAATAAATAAATAACCTGCATTCTTTTTAGAATTTCTCTGACTACACAGTTTACAATTATGTGTTTCACTGGAGGTCTTTGGTTAATGTATATTAGCATGGGCATTATTATTAAATTGCCCTTTTTTTATTACTTTGGTTATTAAGGGCTAGTGTAGGTAGAGCAGAACAAATATTTGTTTTGTTGCTAGATTATACAACCAATCAGCAAGTTCACGTAATCCCTGACAATTTTGAAAAGTACTGCGAATATATCGCCCAATTAACTTTAATTTGTAGAGGTAGTTTGTCTAATAGTTCATGGATAATGGTAGGGTTATTAAGGTAGTCTTTTAAATTAGATACTAATAAAACAAATAAATTTTTAACTGCTAAAGCAAATTCTACCAGAGTGTTTAGGTTTTTCGGAGGTGGTAATTTACAAATAGAATTTATATGAGCTTCAATAATTTGCTTAGGTCTTCCAAAAAGAATTTTTAATGTAGCTATAATTTGGGGCACACATTGAGGTAAAATTAAGAATTTTGAAACACTGACTCTTGCTGGACTTAAAACCTTGTAATCTTAATACATTCTCATAATTATCTACTTGACATAACTGAAGAGATCTTTTAAAATTACTAATAAAAACAGGCCAGTCATGTGGATTGCTATCCACATGACTGGCCTGTTGACTCCACATGACTGACAAGGGATCCTGTAAAGGGGTCTCCAGGATCCCTTCTTTTATATAATATACCTAAACTTTTATAGTTATAAGTTGACATAGACTTACCAAGTGTTGGAGTTAAAGGGGCAACATTGTCGATAAAGAGCTGATCTAATAATATAATAATAGTCTCCCGTTTTATACCGCACGCGGCTTTGGGAGTATAGCAGGGTAGTCTGCTATATCTAGGGCCTACGGTATACAAGGAAGGTAACATGGCCAGTGCTACGCTTCAACCGCCTATTATTACCCCTGGTTTTACCCAAGGTACTCATTTTATTCAGGCTGAGTCGACCTGGGGCCTATAGACATTTTTAAAAATGCCTAGTTGTTCTTGCCGGCGGTAGGATCCTAGCCTAGCCTAGGATGCCTAGCTGATCTATATTTAAAGAAAAGAAATTAATTGACCAAAGGGTTAGTTTTAATTATTTCCTCTTCATCAATGTCCTGAATATCATTCGAGCACTCGTCTTTTTCTAAAATTCTCCTAGATTCTTTGGTTAACTTTCTTTCTTGACGTAACAGATCTCGTTCTTCCTGCAGAAGTAGAAGCTTTATTTTTGTTTTGCTGTTTGTTGATGAGTACCTTTTAACCAACAAAAATTCTTGGTTTTGCAACGGTTTGGGTGACACTTCTTAGTGGCTGCGTCTACACAAAGGCGACACTTCTAGCTGTTATCACCAATTACTTCGAAATCATCATGTACATTTACGCATTCAAAACAGCACCATTTTATACATTCTGTACATTCTACCATTCGTTCTTCACGAGATGGTTTGCCGCACACATGACATAGATCCAGTTTGGTTCGTCCAGCAACTGACGGACCCATATTCGTAGACTTTGTAAGATTGTGTGATTCGGCAATCGCGTGTGATGAAAAGAATTCGTCGGTCTGGATCATAATCTCCTAGTTTTTGAAGAATTTGTGTTTTGTACATATGACACATGCCATTTCAACACCTTTCTAACCGACTCATGTGAAAGTCCTGTTATTGCAGATACTTGACGTTTTGATCCAGTAGGCTCTATTGAAAAATTTCCAATAACTTCAATTTGGGATGCTTTATTTATTTATTATTATTAAAAGTGATTTAGTATTTCAAAATACAAAGTAAATAAAGCTAAACAGAAAATATCTTGTAGTTTATTCAAGAAAAAATACAAAATATACCACTAGATATACAATTACGGCCGCCATGAAATATTATTCAAACCATGGAAAGTCCTTTTCATCATCTGACTATCAGCCCATTCTGAATTCATATAATTATCATCGTCGTCCTTATCTAATTTCTTTAATTCCTCTTGCCTTTTGTACGCATGATACATCAGTTGTTTTCGTTCTTCTTCGGTCATAACCGGTTCCCGACCTGGAGGTCCAGAGCCACGTTTTGAAATTTTCATAACCACTTTCGATTTTTCTATCTTTCCCACATAATCTCCAACAGTTTTGTTGTCTCTTAAAGAAATATAGAATTATATTAATCTTGTTTTAGTTAAAAAATGTTAAAAAAGGTTTAATGCTTTCAAATTTGAATTAAAAAAAAAGGATTTATATAAATATAGGTAATAGTACCTATACATTTCTTTCCCACAGAACCATATTTGCGCTGTAGTAGGATCAATAACGTCTAATGAGGCTTGAGTTCCAGAAAGGTCTTCAATATTTTCAAACTCCATACGTATGACATCGTGAGGTGGTAGTTTCATGGGGTAAACAATGGTGACGGCTCCTTTAAGAAGATTTATGGCTTCCTGAACTGTTTTCATTGTGAGACACTTTCCTAAAAAGCGTTAAGACAATAAGACAATACGACAATATATTATAATTTAATCTGTTGTAACATTTTTTTTATAATTAAAATATTAATTTTTAATCCTTTTACCCCTGTTGCCGATACGCCTATGGTGGTATTTGCAAATAATATATACGCGGGTGGTCGGTTTAACATCGGCAAACTTTTATTGGACCGAACTACCGAAATCTCATAGAATGTCTCTGAGTATGAAAGGTTTCCTCTAATCCTTTCCTTTTTAATCCCGAGCATGAAAGGAACTAACGCTTTTCGGTGGAAGGCGGGTTCTTTTGGATAATTTCGGTAAATATCGCCGAAGGCACGTTATAGTAATTTTTCTGAAGAGAACGTAATTCAGAAGATTTTATTTTTCTTACGTCCAATTACTGGTACCGTAATTACCTCGAACTTTTCAATGTTCGTTAGAACCTTACCTTCTTAGAAATATATACTGTCTGGCCTGTCTTTTTCCTCATCTTTTTTTGGGGGAAGTTTGTGAAATTTTTAGAGGAACTAGTTTACTTCTAGTCGGGCAGTCTTTGAAAAAAGACGCATGCTACCTTACCGTCTCTCTACATTGTCTTTCTAAGTGTGTATACACTTATATATTTGAGTTTTTTTAATCTAATATCATATTAGATTAAATATTGGTATAAAGTACCTTTTAATTTAAATAATCTGAATGCTTGAGACAAGTATAGTATGTAGAATCAGTGCAGTGTGGCAGTCATCGAGAATTACTGTTATTCTTTTTTAAGTTCCATCTTCTATCAAAGGTTGAAAATCATCATGGCTATGCGGACTTTTGATAGTTAATAATATTTCCGCCTAATTTCCTATCCTTCTAGTTACTTCCACGTTTGACATTCTTTGAATCCATGATATTCGTAGGATTCTTCTGTAACACCAAAATTCAAAGACGGCCAACTTATTCAGATGGACTTGTTTTATTGTCCATGCTTCCAAGCCGTAAAGAAGAGTAGAGAACACGTAACATCGAAGCATTCTCAGGCGTAGTTCTAACCTTATATCTCGCTATTTCAATATGTGTCTTAATTTTTTTGGTTTGGTCTACATCTGATGTTATCCATGTTCCAAAGTATTTATAGTTATTAACATTCTCAATTGCAGTATCTTCAATAGTAAATTGGATATTTGCATGTGCAGATTTAGTCATGATCATGCATTTAGTTTTCTTTAAATTTATCTTCAGTCCGTACTCATGACAGCGTTCATTAAGGCGTTGCATTAGGTTCTGTAAATCATTGTTGTTATCCGTAATTATTACTGTATCGTCTGCAAAACGTAAGTTATTCAAAACTTCTCCATTGATAGATATACCTTCTATTGAGTCTGAGAGCGCTTCTTGAAATACCGCTTCACTGTAGACATTGAAAAGTAATGGAGACAGCACGCAACCCTGGCGGACTCCTCTCTGTATTTTGATATTTTCGGTGTACTGGCTGTCAACTCTTACCTTGGCAGTTTGATTCTAATATAAATTAGATATAATTTTCATATCACGACTGCCAATATTTTTGCTTTTTAGTATATTACTGTAAGTTATCGTAATCTATTATCTTCAATTATCTGGGCGAATAATATGGTATGTTATTATATTGTCCTTAATTATCTGGGTGAATCTACGTTCAACCTTTTTTTCACCCTTAGTTTAGGTTAACTACTGAGTTAGCATTCAATCAAGGAACATTTAATAATTTCATATCACCTTTCAATCAGTTGTTAACAACTGCTAATAAATAATAATTACGAACATTTAATTCTCAGTTAATCATTAAACAATAGTGCCCAACTTTATGTAATAATTAATTGTTAATATCTTTACTTGGATTTGGTCTCAGGACCTAAATATCTTTCCTTATCTCTTTTCTTTTCTCAGGTTTCTTAATTTTCTCCTTAAACCCCAAAAAGTTAAGTGGGGCCCTATTTCTACCTTATCGGTAATTGGTAATTTTACCCATCATCTTTTTGTTTATTTCTGTATCTTTTCTAATATATCTTATCCTGTTCTATCTTTACTTATTTCGTCCGTTGGACCTCTCCACCAACCATCTGGCTGCGGTCCGCAGTTTCTCCATTGGTGACCTTTCTAGCACTATCCAAAAAAGGTTTTCAAGGTTACACTGTTATTGATTCTTTTGGATTTAGAACCTAGGAGATAAAACGATACAACACATTTATTCTATTTGTCTGAGTAATTATTTGTTTTTAAAAAAAATGTTCAGGTAACATGAAACTAACTTCAACGTAAACAAGTAAATGAAAATTTTTTAAAGATAATTTAATATCACGATAATATAGTATTAAAGTAGGGGAAGAGGGGGCACTTTTGAACATGGGGTAGATTTGAACAATTCAAATTTCCCTCTTATAAGCATCACAATATTAGTAATTTTTGTTATACGATGTTGGCTACATTTATGCTACTAGTGTGAAGTTGCATGAGCGATTGTTGTTGTGTTTACAAATGTAACAGCGAAAGTAAGGTTTTTTGTATTTAAATGCATATGTGTGTAATTTTGGTTGTAAGGATAATACAAGCAAAATATTCGAAACTGGGTTGTGTTGTTGCTAGCTTGTAATTCGCAGGGGTTTTCCAAGGTATGTGTTCGATATTTAACTTCGTAATTCTAACCATAAATTTTAACTTATCTAAATTTGAAATCTGTAGTTACGGGGTACATTTAAACAAGATGAATAGGATACTTTTGAGCTTTGTTCTAAACTGCAAGCTCAATTAGGAAGAATTAAAATTAATGTTAAATGTAGATTTTTAGGAACTGAGATGGTAAGTACATACAAAAGAAAACGTGCAGAAGTGTCTCCAACTAAGGATGATATTCAAAATGCCATACCTACAAGCAGTGGAGAGTGGCATGAAACTTTGTAGGCTGCTGCAACGTATGGAATTAAGCATATGACATTATTTTATAGAATAATAAGGAAGCAGGAATGAGAAACAGCAGAACAACATGGTGTAGTTTATAATGATCTGTCGAATTATTCAAGTTTGTATTCTACTGGTCAAGTTTTTAACAAATCTGAAGAAGACCTATTACTTAGTTATATAATAAAATCTTCAAAAATAAATTACGGTTTAACATACATCCAAATTAGAATTTTGGCTTATCATTCTGCAAAAGGACTGAACAAACCTATATGCACCAGTAAATAAGATGCCAATAAAATTTCTGGTATAGACCGCAATATTTTATACTGGCTACCAGTTTTACAAAAGAAAATTTTGGGACATTTTTTGATTATAAACGTGCTCTTTTTTCCCTCGATTTCACACCTGACATGATCTATAACTTAGACGAAGCTGGTATTAGAACTGTCCTACAAGCACCAAACATTGTAACGCAAAAGGGAATCAAACAAGTTGGGCACATAGTTTCAGTACAGAGAGGCACCCTGATCACTATATGTGGGATAATTAATGCATTAGGAAATGCTGTGCCTCCGGTGTATTTCCAAGAGCCCGTTTTCATTATACAATGTTGAATGAATTTTCTTTGGGAAGCCTGGGTTTGGCTAATTCGCCAAGTTCTGGATGGATAACCAAGGAACTGTTTCTCAAGGTTATTAAACACATTAAACGTTTTACCCAGTGTTATTTTGATTCCCAAATTTTAATATTGATGGACAATCACGAAACTCATTCTTTTAAATCCATAATGTATTCACGTGAAAATGGTATTAAATGGTATTAGATACTTTTCCACCCCACACCTCACGTCGCCTTCAACCGCTAGATGTAGCGGTTTATTCGTCGTTTAAATCAAAACTTGCCGTAGCTATGAACGAATAGATGATAATGCATCGTGCTCAAGCTATTACCATACATGACTTAGCAGCTATTACAAACACTGCATACACTTCTTCATTTATCAGTAAGAATATAGTTGAAGGTTTTAAAAAAACGGGCACTTGGCCCCTAAACCGTCTTGTATTTTCAGATGACGATTTTGACTGTGCTTTTGTTACTGACTGACCACCACCAGGAAATAATTTAAACAACTCAACAGAAGCTGTTCTATCTACATCAACCACAGTAGCACCTGAAATTGAAATTGTTCCATCTACATCAACCACCATAACAACTAAAATTGTACGACCTTTCCCAATGGCTGCTACGAGAAAAAATGTTAGAACACGAAAAAAAGTTAAATCTAGAGTTTTAACAGAAACACCAGAAAAAAACAAAATTGAAGAAGAAACTCTGGAAAGAGAACAAAAACAACAGAAGATGTAAGCAAATAAGATGAAAAGAAACATTTGGAAGACTACTCCTACTATTAAGAAGAATGCGGAGTTCCCACAGAGTAAAACTTCGGAATTCGATGAAGACATCGTTTATGACCGTTCAGATGAATCGGAGGACTTCTTATAAATTGCAAAATATGAACAGAATGACTATATTTTAGTGAAGTTTATTACAAAAAATCTGTGTAATTATTATGTGGAACAGATTACTGAAATATTTTCTGTGGATTCGGAGTTTGAAGTTAAATTCAGGAGACGAGAGCAGAGAGGAAAAGAAGACGACCCCGAAAATCCTGGAAGAACGAAGTAGACGACGTCATAAGTAAGAAAGGCGTAAGCAATGGAGAATGGGACAACAGAGAGATATGGAAATGGTTGAGCGAGGGCAAGCAGTGAATACTGTAGAATTCCTGAATATGTAAGCCATAATACACTTAAAAAAAAAACGTTCAAAAGTGCCTCCTCCTCCCCTATATTACCTTGTAACACAAGATTCTTTGAAATCATTTCTTTTGCTTCGGTCACAGCTTTCACTAAAACATCTTGCATATTTTTCTTTGGTCGTTTTCCATTTCTCCTTCCTATGGGGTCTTTGTTATAGTCAAAACCACCACTTGGTATACACTTTTCGCCCCATGTATCTACAAGTTTTAATTCTTCTACTTGGTCTTCATTTAGTCCCAGAATATCTGGAGGATATAAAGTACCGTATTTCTGAAAATGTGCATAACAGAAACTTATGTATAGGAGATCACGAATAATATCCTTAACATTACTTTACAACAACACTTTTAACTCATATGTACGTGTCTTGACAAATATGTTTAATAGATAAAAATTATCTTAATAAAAAGAGGTAGATGATACATATTTACTTTTAATTATTGTATTGCCGTTTAGGCATCAAAAACCAAAAGATCTAAATAATGTCATAATTGATATTTAATGAAAAATCATTTAGAATATCCTATTCAAAAACATCTTAGAACTAGAAAAACTTTAAAGGAAAAACGTATTATTGCGAAATAAAACTAATTTGTTTAATATAATTAATAATGATATTTACCGATAATTCCTCCATTTCACTACAAATTCTCTCCACCTTTAATCTTCCATTATATACAGCCACAACAGAAGTAACCAGACTTTCAACAGTTGTGTTTAGGGTTGTTTCGTATAGAAATTGACTTTCGTCTTTATGTTTTATATGAATTAAAACCATATTAACGGTTTACAGTTGATTCGTAATTTGCGTTGTGTTTTCCTTTATGTAAGAACCAGGGGCTTACTACTAGATAAACACTGACAAGTATTATGTGACAAATGGTCTCAAGTTTGATCGGTAACTGTTGCTATGGATATTACCAGAGCTACTGTTAAATCAATACCTTTTTAGTGGGGTTTATTTAACTTTTTTCTATGCTCGTTAGATGGTAGCGATTTTATAATAATGTATGATTTTTAAAAGTTAAAGAGAGTTTTAGGAATAGGACATACTATGGACTCCATTAACAATTCTATTCAAGAAGCATTCAAAAAAGAACTAATACTAAAAGACTAATAATCCGCAAAATATTTTTAGCTATAAATGACCAAAGTCAGTGGCGCAAAAATATAACTTTGGATTAATCAAGTTTTTTAATAAACCAAATGTCAGTTAGATAGTTCTAGGTAGACAAAAACGTTGTTGGTAATGAATCAGCGATTGGTACTAGGAAAAAACATTCATGAGCAGTTGTGGTGGTAAAAATAACAACTTTTATATTGATAAAAGGAGAATTGGCGGTAGCATAGAGCCCTTATTCTAAAACGAAAGATAAGAGCCCTTATCTCTCGTTTTGTTTGAGCTAAGATATATAGAAAATAAATAGAATTTTTTTCTCTTATTGACAGTTGAAAATCTAAAATCAGTTCAAAAAAATTAAAATAATTCAGATAAGTCAAACAATAAACTACAAACATTTCGAACAATGAAAGTCTTTTAATTTTGGATTACCTGTATTGAACACAACGTAAGATATGCATAAATTATTTTCTTTGTTAAAATATATTTGAGTGACCTGCATAAGCTTAAGTGAAATCCTAGACAATGGAAGCGGATTTTCCAAATAAATTTGTGCAGTAATTAGGACAATAGAATCGATTTTAGAAAGATATGTTTTTGTTAGTTCATAAGAATTGGTAGAAAAAGATTATTTTGTAAATAAGTTTTAGGAAATTTTATAATTGTAGGTAAAAATTTGTTTGTATTCTCGAAATGAAGAAATGGGAGAAGTATGACGCGTTTTGATTGGATGAGATTGAAAAAGGTGGGTTGGTTGGCTTGAGAATGAGACTTTAGTTAGTTTTTGAAAAAAAAAAGATAGTCAGTTGATTTTTAAGGGTACAAGGCGAAAGGCCGTTGTTCTCGGGTAGTTTCCCAGAGGTAGGAAGCAGTAGCAGTGAAAGTTTGTGAGTTTTCGTGTAGTTAGTGTATCTGACAGAAGCTGATCCAGTAAAAGATTGTAAGTCATATTTTTCTACTTATATTCCAAGAGTCACTGTTCAGGCCAACGAGAGATTCAGTTTATTGTAAAGAGAAGATATTCCAAGAGTCATTTTTCACTCAGGCCAACGAGAGATTCAGTTTATCGAGAGGAGAAGAGGCTAGCCTAATTTGAACGATTCGTGCATTTGAAGGAGATCATTAAGGACGATAAACTTGCAACAATTTGTTATAAGATTGCTGGTTACCTAGGGAGCTGCTAAGAGTAGATAGTATAGGCTACAAGGAACAAGGATTTGGACCACTCATCATCAGAGAGAGATAGTTTTGTTTTTCTGCAGTTTTTCTTTTATTGATAACACAATTTTTATACTTACTTTGGAAAAGATATAAATATTTTGATTAGGAGATTTAGAATAATAATTGGGATTTTGAGATTTTAACTAATATTGTTTGTACCATTAATTTTGAAGGTTCACGTACGTAGAACAAAATTTTGAGAATCATTATATGAGATTTTGTTTATTGAAAACATTTGAGTGTGAATTTTATTTCATTATTTTTATTTCAATATATAGTGTTATATCATATGTGTTTTTTTATTATTTCGGTATTCTGTGGACCTTACTTTTCACGTGTAAAGCATAGGTATTGAAGCACGAATATAGCCCTGAGATAAGAGAATTAAAAAGTGTGATAGGATCATAATCATATCATTTAAATAATTTTAATTAATTAATTAATTAATTAATTAGCTAATTAATTGCCTGGCGCACTAAGACTTTAAATATCGCAATAATATATACATATTGGATTTGAAATTTCCGCGAGAGCTATATGTGATTTCAGTTGTTTTCCGGGTTTGACTCCGTGTTAAGTAGTTTTGGTTTAAAAAAAAAACCATTGTTTTGACGACGTTTCGATAACTAAAAAACGGCAAACTACTTAACGCGGAGTCAAACCCGGAAAACAACTGAAATCATATATATATATATATATATATATATATATATATATATATATATATATATATATATAGATACGTTTTTATTTGTGAATTTCTATAAAATGCTAATTTCTTTTATTATACCCGCCACTGCGACCCTAAAAACAAAGTCCAATTGATGCTTTTTTCCCTAGAGCTCTGTAAAGCTTTTACTTTGTGTTTTAAAGACGTTTTTTATGTATAAGATGACTTCAGAGCAGCTTTTAACCGTTTATGGATATACATCAGTATTAAACTCAAGGGTGTAGTGCTTATTTAAGCCAAACAATGATTATGAAGTTTATATCTCAAGAGACTACTTCGAGTTAACAGTTTAATCATAATGTATTGTTGGAGGAGTTTACACTTTCGAATATTCAGTTACAATAAATGTATTTATAGGATAAAACAGTCACAAAGTCAAATAGTTTTTGATTTTAGAGGAGACGACTATCATATCCTTATGATTGCTGACGAGGTATAGATCAGCTAGTTAAAATGAATAAGAAATGATTCTAGTACGGATTCTGATTGTTATTCTGTCAATTTAATTTGCAAAGGTTTAAAAAGATTCTTGTAAGACCGTTCATTTTAATTTGGTAGTAAACAAAAAGCAAGAGGAATGTAATATTCATTTTTCAATATAATATGCAGTGTAAACAACAGCAAGAATTCATCAGGACAGTAGCTGAGAGAAAGACATAGCGTATTATCAATATAGAGACCTAAAAATTTATTTGAGGTGTCAGAACAAATTTCCACAGTAATATTTTTTAGATCATTATTAAAAGAAATTAATTTGTTTTTTGAAAAATTAAATGCCAAATGATTAGCTTTGCACCACTCAAAGATTTTTAGCATATTACTACTAATAACCTTGTTCAGTCCTTGTTTACCATAAAATTGTGGTGTCATCTGCAACTATAGTGAACCGTCCATTAATGTCAAGGTTAGTTATATCGTTAAAATATACCAAGAAAAAGATAGGACCCAAGACAGAGCCTTGAAGTACTCCACAATTAATAAAGATATTACTAGAGTAGCGCTCATTGATTGATATAGACTGGTATCTGTCTTCCAAGTATGAAGTGAACCATTTTAGAGCAGTGCCTCTAAAACCATATCTTTCCAGTTTATTTATTTTTACGCACAACAGGCCGTTAATTCCTAAGGCATTTTTTTACAACATAATCCTAATATTAACTACTTACAATTATTTTAAACACAACTTTAACTTAAATATGTATATATAACATTTTTAACTACTCTAAAGGACCTGGTGTACAGTATTTCTCCATTCGCTTTTATTTTGTGCTTTTCTTGTCCAGTCCTTCACCTTCACGTGTTTAAGGTCTTCCTCTGCTTTACTAATCCACCTCGTTCTGGGTCTACCTCTTCTTTTGGGGCCGATTAGTTTTCTGGTTATTACTAGTTTGGGCATTCTGTCTGCTCATGTCTCAACCATCTGATTCTTTGTGACTTGACGAACTTGGTAATGGTAGATTCTTCGTATAAAGCCATTAATTCATTGTTGGTTCTTCTCTCCCAACCATCTTCCGTCTTCCGTCCTCCGAATATGCGTCTCAATATTTTTTCCTTTCCCATCTTTCCAGAGTATCCTCTTCACTATTTGTCATGAGTGGTGTCATTAAAGTACAGTAATTTAGCATCGGTAAAAATTAAGGACAGGATTATCTTTTATTACCTACTCGGGGACGAATTGAGGACCGACCATATACAGTATTGTGCGAATTAATGGAATCATAGGCTGTTTTAATGAAAAAACAGTTTATTTAGTAAAAAACTATAAAGGTAAACTTACATCATTCAGTAGGAAATATGTCCCCCTTTGTCAGCAGTTACTGCTTTTACCCATTTTGGCATAGATTCTATGAGTTTCTGGCAGTTGTCAGATATCCTTTCGTCTCGATACCAAACCTGAATGGCCGCTTCTATCATTTTTGTTTTAGTGGTACAGTCGATTTTTCGCAGTCTAGCTGTGCAAATGGCCCATAAATTTTCAATGGGGTTGAGGTCGGGCGAATGACGGGGCCAATCTAAAACATTAATCTTCTTATTTTTGTTTTCCATCATTTCCTTTAATTTGTGACAGGGAGCAGAGTCCTGTTGAAGAATCGCTCCTCCTTGGGGTTGACATTTTTGGAGTTGTTTTGTCCAAATACTTTTCCAACATGGATTTGTATTTTTGGCTGTTCATCATGCCTTTAATTGGCATCAAAGATCCAACCCCCATGTACGAAAAACATCCCCAAAACATTTTCTTTACTGGATGTTTTACGGTTTGATCAATATGAGATGGTGTAAGCTTTTCATTGTCAGACTTCCTGACGAATTTCGACCGCTGTCCCTGAACTATAAAGTGGGTTTCATCTGTAAATAGGACTTTTTTCCAGTCGCCTACAGTCCAATTAGAGTATTTTTTGGCCCACAGTAGCCTTTGTTTCTTCATTCGTTCAGTTAGAAGCTGTTTTTTCTGTGGACGAATTGCCCTTCCACCATTCTCCAAAAGTCTTCTACGAACAGTTGAGTCATTAATCACTATATCTGATGCTGCTAGATCTTGTTGTAGGTCTTGGCTTGATTTTCTTGGGTCCAATTTGCTCTTTCGAAGTAAAAATCTATTATCTGCTGGTGTTGTTTTTCTCTTTCTTCCACATTTTCCTAACCTTTTCACATCCACTGATCCCGTTTCTCGTTTACGCTTCAAAATTTTGCTTACTACCCTCTGACTTACTCCACACGTTCTAGCAATCTCTCTTTGTGACATACTAGTGTGTTCACTCAACGTGACAATCTTTTCGCGCTTCCTATGCGTAATATCCATGTTGGAATAAAACCAAAAA